GGCTTAACCGGCGAGGAGTGGACGTCCTGGAATAATGGAGTCTTCTCCGGGGAAAGGCTACACAGTGATGAGTGGACCCGATGCACCATCGGTGCAGAGAGTGTCAGCTTAACTGGCAAGGTGTTCCACCGGAGATACTCACACTGTGCCCATGGATTCAGGTAGGAGGCGAGGAAAAAGTTTAGAGATGGGTGTGGCAATACACCCCCACACATAGGTGGTGAGTGGGTGGCCCCCGCGACTAGGCCTAGTAGGCTGTTGTGGTAACCCGGTATAAAAAAAAAAAAAATTAAAAACTACGTTTTTTTTTACATTTTTTTATATAAAATCGTTAATTAAAACAAGTTCCTTACATTTTCAATAAACGGTTTTTGAATGATACATGCCTTATCGTCTAATTAATTTAATAAATCCTTTATCACGAAATTTGATTAGGCATATTACATATGCGCATTTTTTATTTCAATGAGGCTTAAAAGTTGCGTATGTCATATAGTACTATAATAATGTGGAACGAGCAAATAATGATTTAAATGAGAATTTTATTTAGCAAACCCTCTCATCGTTAGGCCTATTTTAGCACTTACGTGGTAAGTATGTATATTGGAGACCATATACACATAAGAGAGTTTATTATATTTATTCAATAATAGCTGAATTCAAACTTTATTTCGGTATTTTCACTTTTCAATGTCTGCAGACTGCCAGACTCCATGTAATCTCACCCTAAGGGTGCACATCATAAAAATTGTCAGGTAGTACATTTTAAGGTAGGGGTAAACGAGGATATTATTGCGGTTGCTCTAATTACTGCGGCACTCTCGAATAATGCGTATATTTTAATTGAACTGATGAGTTACGGATAGTAAATACTTGAAATTATTAAATCAAATTATAGAGTACCTAATTCATTGAACTTCAGTTCAAAAATAGCCTTAAAAACTTTACATTTGTATAACAAAAAATCACGTCCGCAATAACTAGTGCACACATAATCTCTTTCACTATGATAGTATTATTGCGGATATCCGGTTGATTTAGCATTTAAATTGGCCACAATAATACATACAGGCCCGCAATAATACCAGCGTTGGCAACTGAACTTTTAAACCTCTTTTTAAATAGATATTCATGAGTTTATACATTTATAAAAGGGGAATTCAATAGTTTTTGAGTCCAACATTGAATAAAAAAAAAATCACAACGATTTGATGCACTTAATTTCTTAGACAATCGTTTAAAGCTAGCCACTAAAAAAAAACCGCAATAATACCCCCATTTACCATTAGTTGTTTCCTTAATCAAGAGTATCTAAAAAGGTACGAAATTTTCAGCAAAACTAATGTAAGCGTCGAGGAATATGTGTAAAAAACTTGAGACCGATTTACCACGTCGTTATTGAAATATCCTCGTCAAAAAATCACTCTTTTGACATTGGAGCAATGGTGCAAATACTACATAACCCCATTATTTTAAAAAGTGTAACTTATAGCATACCTATAAATAATTGAAAAACTACTGAAAATTACCTTAGATAGTAAAGAAACACATACATTTTTTTGAGAATTTTTTACCACATAGTTTTAAAGTAATAGTAATCAAAAAAGTGCTCTTCGTTGGATTTTGGAAGATAACCAAGTAAGTATCGCGTATGTGGCAACATCACATTGTCACATGAGTACAAATAGATAGATGTACATGTTTATGTATACGTATAAGTGTACGCAAATAAGGCATTCACATTTCTCTCTGATATTTTGAATACGGGATGATATATGAACATAACCTTAGTATTGTATATCTATATATACGAGTGACCTATATATTGGAAAATAACTACCTTAAAAAAATTCTTGTACACAAAAATTTTTTTTACTATCGAAACAAATTTTTTTTCATTTCTCTCACATATTTTACGCATCAGGAGTCTAATAAATGCATAGATTTTCATAAATAATTCGCCAAATATTTGAGTGATCAAAAATTTATACATTATACAGTAGGAAGTACTTGGAGAACTAATTTGAGAATTAATTTGAATAAATTGAATTCTCAATCTCAGTTTATCAATCGCATTTTACAAACTTGTTTTACTAACTTAATACCCTGGGACTTGACGTTGTCTGGATGAACGGCAGTTGACCGGTTAAACAGTAATAAGTTTTGAACTACTCAAGCAGAAAATATCGTCTTCATGAAAATTACCTTTCAAGAGAAATATGTTGTCAAGTAAGTACGTTGTTATGAAGTGTAGATGAATCTCCGACAAATATACAAATAAATACATCGTCAGACTTACAAAGTTAATAAAACATCAAAATCTACATGTAAACAAATATGTTATATATGTTATATGCATACATCGACTCTCCGGACGAAGACTATGCCCTGATTGGTCCTCGACAAAAACTAATGAGCTCTTTTTTAGTCCAAGACAAAGACTACACCTTTTTTTCTAGTCCGGACGAAGACTATGACGAACGTCTTCGTGTAAAAACAACACATAATCGATATTCTTAGCAGGTCTAGCGACTTCAGTATTTGGAGTTTTAGTGAGTGTTTGATAAAAAAGAGAATGAGCTTTTTTAAAAGATTTCGTAAAGTGTATATTACAATAACTGTAGACAACAACCACTACATAAATAAATTTGACTATTCATCCAATAAGAAACATAAATGTAAAGTGAGCTTAACTGAATTGCACTTCATCTGGGCTTAAGAAAAGTTCAACATTTTCGTCCAAACTCGGAGAAAATGGGATAGTGTTCACCTGGACTCGAAAAAAAGGGCGTAGTTTTCTTACAAACTCAAAAAAAATGGCACAGTTTTCGTCCAGCCACCGAAAGACCAAAGCAGGGCATAGTCTTTGTCTGGGATGTCGATGTGTGTGTGCGTATGTGTGTGCGTGATGTATTATATCATTTTTAGGTACTGGTATTGGGATTCCAGTGGGTCACGTGACTCTGGCGGTATATATAGTCACTTGGGGGAAAAATAACACAGGCCTTGTAGGTGCAATTATATTTTTATGTTTTTTACACGTTCAACGATTGTAATACTATAAAAACCGTTCAATAAAATATTTTGGAGGAGATGACAATACCTTAAATATTTTTTCCCAACTCAATTAGTCTTTTGCAGCTTAAAACTTTCCTTTGAAAGTGCGAAAACGAACATTTAACCTGTACAAAGTTCTCTCGATCCCGATATAGGAAAACAAGCGGGATTTTGGTAAGGTTAAATGTCTTTATGTCTGATTTTGGTAAAATTAAATAGCTGTCTATCCTGTATGTGTCAATAGATATTTCTAAGCTTTTATATACAACTATATATGCCCCCTGCGCGCTCTGCGCACCAACCCCCGTAGTTGTAAATTAGATTTACAAAGTATAGAAAAAAACCCGAATTATATTAATTGTTACTTAAAATTTATACATGTAACAAATGTATATTGATCATAATTAATTACATGAAGTATTAACAATCACTTTTTATTTTCCTTGACTAATAACAGCTATTTCTATGGGATTAGTAGAACACGATTTTCAAAGCGATCTTATTTTTGAAGAAGCATGTAACGTTATGCTGCCTTTTCAACTACGAAAATTTTTCGCGTGGTTTATTGTGTCTGAAAATTTTTTTGGTAATATTATTTGGAACAAATACAAAAAATTTTTCATTGAAGATTGTAAAGATGATCAAAATAAAGCTCTTTTACATTTAAACGAAATTTTTAATTCTGAAAATATGTCTTGTAAAGATTTCAGTTTAACAGAACCAACAGAAACGATGAAAAAAAATATTGATACTGACAATGATGAAAGAATATTTTGTAAATATGAAGCCATGGATGGAAGTATTACTGTATTCAACACATCAGTCTTAGTCTTACAATATTATTTAGTTCCTTTGTAGAGTGAACATCACTGATAAAATATAATTACTATTATAGTGAGATGTTGTGATATTACAATAGTTAAGTTTATAATGTTATATTTCAAAGATACGTCAAATTATCTTGAAAAATTTAATCTATTGTCTGAAATAAAAAAACACGTAAACCTTTTACTAAAATCCAATATTCTATTCATGTTAATAAATGATACTAAACATCTTTTTACTTACAGTTTTGTGAATGTTTCTGCAATGTCTTAGTAATGAATCTTTTTTTGAAAACTTTTTGCCACATTCTGAACATACTACATTATCATCAGACTGATGAATCATTTTATGTCGTCGTAAATAAGTTTGTCTATTAAATTTTTTTTGCCATAAAATCAATTGTACAAATTGTACCAATTTCAACATTGATTTAAAACAGAATAGGAATAGACCTAAGTCTTCGTGGTTTGATAGGGCTTTATAAGTTGACACATAAAATAAGTCATCTTAATGCGAAACTTCCACGGTTTGTATTAATGATAAACTAAATATAATTTAAATTTTTGTATGTATTGGTATTATTCATTCGTATATAAAATAATATAATACATACACATAAAAATTTTACACATAGTTTATCATAAATGCTAACAAAAAAAGCTTAACGCACCAAGAACTTTCTACAAATAAATGGAAATACAATTGATATAAATTTTTGATTTTTGGTCGTATTGAGTTTTATAAATGAAAAGGTTATGAATTATTCGTATGTATAAAGTCCATCTATGAACCTCGTGGGTGGTGTGGAAAAATAGATGAAAACAAAATATATTGTAAGAAACAAAACATGTTCTTATTAGTTAACATTCTTCACAAATAAACATTTTTACAGAACAAAAATAAATATGACATATTATTTTTATGATGTATTCAATTATATTTTTTTTTAAAAGACTCTGAGTAAAACATGAATGACTAAATAATCTTAAAACTCCTAATATAAATGGTTTTATATGGTGGAACGTTGCTTGGAATGCCCCACACAGTTAACTGTATAATATAACAGTTAACTTTATAATTCAATATATAATAATAATGATGCTTTGCGCAAGGACCCCTTATAACTCAATTATGACTTTAAATGTATCTTGATGATGAGATAAATCGTGACGATAAGACAGTTTTGTCTTGAAGTAATTTAACATTGAAGCAGATTAAAAATAATAGACCAATCCATATACGACACGTACACGTCTGTATACACATCAAGGTCCAAGAAATACGATAAATACGATGTGATCCACGGTCTCCAAAAGAAGAGTGGCAGTCGGTGGGGGGTTGCGAAAAAATGCGCGGGGGGGCTGTAGGGAGCTGTGGGGGGTTTCTGAAAAAACTGCGATATGTCAAAATAAGGGAAAAAATGATAGGTTTTTACTGATAACTGAGACTCCAGCTTGGAAATGGCTTGTCTATGATCAAATGGCGCATTCAGTTTCTGCTGCTCGAGTCTTGCCCGCAACGTTTCAATTTGAAACAGCTGCTCCGACGTCGCCTGTTGAAGCAATTCCTGCTCAGCCAATAGTTCTTCATTTTGCTTCTGGAGATTCGACAACTGCGTGTCCAGATCCTTGAGCCGTTTGAGCGCCACATCCTCGACCCGAAAGTGCTTCGATAAACTTTCCTTGAGCTTGAGGAGACTATCAAGCGGCAGTACCGGTGGGTAGCTCGGATCGTCGGGAGTAGGACAGCGCGTCGCGTCAATCTGCTCGCGTAGAGAAACATCCTCGCTTGGCTGGCTGATACTCAAACTTGAGCCGCACACGTGCATCGATTCCAGTTCCCGAGTTTTATTGTTTAGCTGAGCTTGCAAGTCACGTATTTCGAGGCGGAGCTGCTTCAGAGCCGACGAATTGGCTGCCATCTGCTCGGAGCTGAGCTGCGCCTTGCGAAGTTCTTCCTGTAGGTGTCCGATGTGGTCGCTCAGGTGATTGTTTTCGCTGCCGGCTTTGACGAGCTCCAGCTCTTGGACGAGTTCCTCTTGATTCTTCGTCTGTGCCAAGATGATCTCCTCCAGCTGTTGGATCTGACCTTCGAGGATATCTTCTTTTTCAGATCGCGTTTGAACCTGTTGCTCCAAATCCTTTATTACTTCGCGCAGTTCCCAAATTTTTTCAACCGCGGTCTTCAGTTCTGCCTCAGCTTCCGCACCCTTCGTCTGGGCCTCACGCAATTGGGCAGTTAAATCTTCCACCTGTTTTGGTATTTTTTTTTTTTTTTTTTAACCAAGACTATTAATACTTTTGTTGCTTTTCCAATCCATAGCTTTTGAATGTAATTGGATGGAATTTTAACAATAGCAGTGGAATATAACAAGCGATTGTACTCGACGTAATCTATTTTATACGTAGAAGCTTCAGAGCTTGGTGGAGGAGTATTCATGCAATGGTGACTGTTTGGAGTGCACGTGGTTTGTAAGGACAAAGTTTAATTGATTAGTGCACTCTAAATGGACAGACCAAATAAATCACAATAATTCTTCATTTTACCAAGTGCATCATATTCGTTTGAGATGACTAATATTACACATTGTTCATGCAAACGTTGAAAGAAATAATTTTGAATTTGATGTATTCTTTTGTCCTTTTCATCATTATTTAAATCACTTTCATGCTCGATCTCTGGGAATATTAACATGAAATGAGACTCACTGATTCATTGATCCCGGATTCATCGCTCTGCCGAAGCATAGAGTTGCCCGTTGAGAACGAGGCGGGCGATAGCGCCGACTGCTTTTGTGTGCATGTGTGTGTGCGATAAACAGAGAAGAAAAAAAAACCAAAAACCCCAAGTGCGTGGTACAACAATGTCATTGTTCAAAGAGGATGCGAGATTCACTTTGTACGCAGTATTTGCAATAATTGATCCCTTACCGGATGGAGTGGTTAATTTTGTTTTCATTTTTCAAATTGCCCTTCGAAAGGCTAAATTTCATTCATGATCGTACGAGTGGCATCGTCGCACCTTCTTGTTTTTAAAATACGTGTTAAAGCAGTGATGCAGTGTTACAAGCTGCCTCAACTTACGTCGACCCTATCTCTTTTTCTACAAATTTCAATTTTCAGTTATCCAACTGATTTATCCTCTGATCCAGTTATTTTGTTACAGTTGTAAATGTATTATTTATTTATTAATACGCGCCCTAATCATTATTAACGAAAAAAATTGTAATTACAGCGCCTTTTTTTAGAACTTAACAGTATTTCATTGTCACAGTTTTTTTTTTGGTAAAAAATACGATACAGGATGACTTGACTTATACTTGAATCTAAGAAACGTGTGACAGAGAGGGTGTGAGAGAGAGAGAGAGACAAAAAGAGAAAAAAACACTAAAATAATAAATTATAAAGTAAAAAATTTAAATTCTTAAAGCATTCGATGCCTTCTACTCAACGAAAACCACGGAAAGGTGGCAGATACTTTTATCAGGAAAGGATAAGGAGAATGAACTAGAAACTATTAATATCCAAAAAAAATTAGAACATGCATGTTAACATTTGGGCGTTAATGTTAGGATGCGTGATGCAAATGTTAGAATGAAAGGGATGCGTGTGGAATTAACGCATATAATGTCGTTAATCTCAGGACATTCTTGCGCGTACTTTTTCACAGAAGCGTTAGGCGTCGAAGACACTCACCACTGAATAGGCCTAGAGCTTGCGATTATACTTAGTTGTTTTAAAAGAAGAAGAAAAGTTAATAACTATGCTAAAGTTAGCCAGGAAATATAAATGAAAATGTAACGCTTACTAAGATGTAAATACGCGCATAAAACTACGCGTCAGTATTTATGTAAAACAACGAATAATTAATACTTTTAAGTGGAAAAAATTGTACTTACTTTCTTGCCTTATTCCAGGCATTTTCAACGCGAGCTCTAGGATGAGCCGTAAAATATCTCACAGGAAACTTAAAAATACGCTGCCTCACAAAGCGGGACGATATAATTTAAAATACGATAATGTAAGGGCTCGACGTATTAAGAAATCTACAATGTAAGCAAGCCGCTTTTTATACACGCTGTAGGTGAGAATTAACTGTCACTCTCCTTTGTTAATCGTATAATTTTTGTTTGTATAATTTATTTAAAAATGACCTTGAGAAAATTCACATAGGTTCTACGTATACTAGAATATCAAGAAAACTTAATATTAATGTAACCTTTGTATTCCATTCCTATTTCTGAACCTCCTTAAGTATTGTAAAAAGAGGTCCCATAACTAAGGAAGAGGTCGTTACAACATTTAACTCATCTTTAATTAATGTTAGGATATAAACTTGGTATTGTTTTTAATATTGATTATGAAGACTATAATTATAAGAAGCAAGTAAAAGGAGGACATAGTCATGTGTAAGAACTCATCTCTTTTGTAAATAAGGATGGCTTTGATAGCCCTCCAAGGCTTTGAATGTATGCATGATTATCATGAAGTTACGATTCACAGTGTGAAATTTGTACACTCACGAGAATACTATTACTGAAATGATACTCTCACATGAGAGGAGTTCAAGAATTTGACGTGCTTTGTAATATAAAGGATTGTAATAACAAATAAACATACTTTTTTTATATATATTGTATGCATAACATAATAAATAGTTTACTTATTTAAATCCACGTTGGTGAAAAAAAATTATTCAACAAAAAAACTCTTCGTTTAAAAAACTAATTTATTTTACGGTTAAAAATAATGATAATAATTGTTTGCCTGACGAACAGAAAGAGTAGCATCAGGTTAAGTTTTTTTACTGCGATGGAAAGTGCGGAAGATGCGCAGTGATAAGCTACTAAGTATAGGAGCTCCTCATCTGTAAATATAAAAACTTTAAAAGTCATTCCTGTCCCGGGAACCACGTTGCAAACTACTGCCACGCACAGTTTATATATTTACGCTTATATTACATGTGTACACTTATTTTTATATATTTACGTTTATATTACATGTGTAATTTTTTTTTTACTTGATGTATATCCCTAATACTTTGCAACCTCAAGATTTACATTGGTTTTCAAATAATTATATACTCATGTAACTACAAGCTACAAGTACCACGATTTCTTTGTTTTGAATATTATATATATATCTTCCTATGTTATATAGTTATCTCGGTTGGGCATTTCACACAACCCCCCACCCCACGGTCCTTCGCAAAATAAGGTAAAAACCCGTAATTTTCTCCCTTATTTTGACATATCGGAGTTTTTTTACAAAACTCCCCGTAGCCCCCCCCCCCAGACCCCCACACATTTTTTCGCGACCCCCCACCGCCCCCTCCACTACCACCACACTACTTTTGGGGAACCTGCCTGAGATCATACAGTCTTTCACAGACCTTGATGTGTATACAGACGTGTACGTGTCGTATATGGATTAATGTATTATTTTTAATCTGCTTCATTATTAAATTACTTTAAAAAAAAGCTGTCTTATCGACATGATTCATCTCATGGTCAAGAAGAAACGTGAAGTCACAATTGATTTATAGGTGGTCGTTGCGCAAAGCGTCATTATAATTATATATTAGATTATAAAGTTANTAAATACATCATAAAAATAATGTCATACATATTTTTGTACTGTAAAAATGCTTATTTGTAAAGAATAAACATGTTATTTTAATAATAACTATAATGTAAGTAATGAGAACATGTTTTTTTTTCTTACAATCATTTTTTTTTTCATCTATTTTTCCACACCACCCAGAGGGCAGATGGATGGAATTTATACATACGAATAATTCATAACCATTTCATTTATAAGATTAAGTACGACCAGAAACCAATTTATATTAATTATATTTCAATTTATTTGTAAGTATAAAATTCTTGGTGCGTTAATTTTTTTTTTTTTGTTGGCATTCATGATAAGCCATGTGTAAAATTTTTATGTGTATGTATTATATTATTTTGTATATAAGCTTATGACACTAATACATACATAAATTCAAATAACATTTAATTTATTATCAATACAAACCGTGGGAGATTTGCGTTAAGATGACTTATTTTATGAGTGAACTTATAAAGCCCTATCAAACCACATAGACTTAGGTCTATTCCTATTCTGTTTTAAATTAATAATGAAATGGAACACAATATACATTCATGGGATGTATCATTAAGTATTAAATTCTGTCCATGCTTATACAAATATTTAAATCATGTTGTTATTGTTGGATACATTATTACTTATAAACAAAAGTTTCTTTCTTAACTATATTTTCAATATCTAAATTCTGTCCATGCTTATACAAATATTTAAATCATGTTGTTATTGTTGGATACATTATTACTTATAAACAAAAGTTTTTTTCTTAACTATATTTTCAATATTTAAAATGTTTTCTCTATCGATTTAAACAAAAATTCCATTTTTATTTTTGCATCTCGATAAAGCCACGTACAATTGCTTGACCATGAGACAATGAAAGTTTTTTCAAGAATAATCCCACATTATCAGAACTTTGACCTACAGACATATTTATATAGTCATAGCAAATGCTACAACTAATGGGAATTGTTTTCTGTATAAAATGAAAGGTAATAATAAAGTATTTTTGGTATTAAATATAATTTTTGGAATAAAAACTTTATTACCAATTAACTATTTCCCCTTCTACGTTATACCTTAACAATTTAGTAATTCGTCATCGTGTACCGTTTCATAAGCCGCCTGATATACTAAAATTTAGAATTAACATTAGTATTGTACCTCTATTTTTAATTTAAGTTCATGAGGTGGCAAGCCTTCACGAATATTGTTTAACATTTCTACGGGAAAATTTATATGAATATTATTGTTAGCAGTATGGGTTTATGAGTAGGAAATTTGGCGAAAAAATGTACAACACTCGCAGTTTATAATTAAACACAGACACGTTTATTGTCACTATCTTTAGTCTTAACTATCTTTAACACTTTACTATCTTAAGTGCAGTAAGGTAAAATGCCCAATACTTGGACAAAACTAAAATTCAGACCGATACTTGGACAGTGAAAAATCAGTCATTGTAGCAAATAAAAGAGATATTTTAAAAAACGGAATAGATTAGTAGTCCTATGATTATTATTGATGATATACATGAACTTTGTAATAAATTTTAGCAAAATTTAATACAAGCGAATGATTCTAAATTTCACCTTAGGCGCCATAAGAGTGCGATAATTTTTCTCCGTTTTCTATGATTTTGATAATAGGTAATGCTCGTTAAAATTAATCCAATGCATTCGTATGCATGCTGTATAGTATTATTTTACAACTTTTACATTAATTAACAATATTTCTAATGTAATCGTGGACAAAAAAAAATTTTTATAATGTAAAATTAGCTGTCCAAGTACACCTCACGATTTCGTAGTAGTTGGACAGACGTGTAGCTCTTGTCCAACTTCAGGTCATAGGTACAAAAACGTCGTAGCCAGTACATGAACATACAATCAAAGTTGTTTACCTTTTAACGTAGTTAAAATCTTTTACGCGAATTTTTTAAACAAAAGTGTATAAAAAGTGCAGTAATTTGTAGAAAAAAAAACACTGTACTAATCAATTTTGTTGTTAAGAAATGCACCGATTTAAGAAAATTGTTTTTTCAACATTTTGAAAATTTAACCTCCAATTTGCTGTAAATACAGATGAAGTATGGAATCTGAAAAGAGGAAAAATGTTTAAAAAAAGAGTAAAAGAATGAAAAAGAACAAAAGTGGAGGTCATACAACA